AATGGTAGCAGGTCGAGAATAAAGGAGGCGGAGGGGTCTAGTGAGAAGTGGCACGTTTACAGCGCGCGCTATCCGGGGATCAAATCCCGGAGCTGCTTCCGATCAGACCACCCTCGTCTTCTACGTTCTGAGGGCGGTAAACGGTTAAAGATTCTTGTGGGAAGATAGGAGCACAGACTTTAGTTCTGCAGTGATTGAGCTTAAGCCTGGCCATGCTCTCTAAGAAAAACTATCAAAAAAGTTTATAAGTATCACTGATACGCCCGCGAAGTGTCAGCTGTTTCCTTTTTTCCAATTTTATTTCTTTCAGCCGAATGACTGAGCAGCAGATTAGAGACACATTCTTTGCTCCGTTGGATCAACCACCGCGACAAGAGCCTGAGTGGTGTACGCTCTCCGAAGGACGTCTAATACAACTTGTGGGAAAATACCAACCACATGGTTAGTTCTATATTTCGAACTGTTCTCAAACTGACTTCTGTAATAGGTAAACAAAGAAAAATTAACGTTAATTCACAAGCCCGCCTCAGAATTAGGGCGAACCGGTTCGACGTCAGCATCGTTAGTCACCCCCGCGTTCGGTTTCCATCCTTGCTCAGGCATCTGATTCATAGACTGAACTGGCTGTGATGTAGTTTGACCATGGACTGACTTCTTGGTGGACCACACGCTGAAAAGGCGGAGCCGCCCGTCGTGCTTGCTGCGTGCCGCCGCGTCGTGCTTGCTGCGTGTTGCGCTTCCGCCTGTTTTCTTCCTATGAACACGGTAACAGTCAGCTGGCTCCATAGAACATCTCCGGCGAGCGCACGCGTTGCGTGCTTACTGTCGCCACAGCGATGACGCAGTGAAAAGGGAACAAAACCCAGCACGGTTTCGCTTCATGGCACTATACTACCAGGCTTTTCGCCGATGTACGGTAAGCAACAGCAGGACAAATGTGACGGGAAGAAGTAGTCAATGATGACTGATTAACAGCAGTAGCACATGGAAGACATGTGAAAGGCATATTCGTAGAATAGGCGTAACACTTCCCAGGAGATATGATGATACCGCTTTGATCGCCGGTAATTATCACTCCCCTCTCCGGCGCTACTGAAGGCGAACATGAGCTGAGAAATCCCGCCGCCCCAATAAAGAACAATTGAGCGGCTCTCCGTCAGAGGGCATCTAGCAAGTGGGCGGTCCAACTGGACGGGCGTTAGAACTAAAACTTTCAGCGGCTGTAGCGGGCTCCTCGCTCGCTGTGGAGAGTGGGACAGCCTCTAGCTTGGGGGCTGGATTACTTGCACAAGGAAGGACGACCATGTACTACTCGAGCGCGGGGGCTGTTTTGAAGCTTTCAAAGTACAACGCTGCATTTGCCGCCTTACACCATGCCTCGCTTACCCAACACGTTAGAAATCTCACTACCGAGAACTTGTCAAATACGAGAACGTAACCTGAAGTTCATCTTGAGCTTGTTGTGAAGGAGGTATTATAGCATCACAGAAACGAAAAAAGTGAAAGAGCGAATCAGCGATGCTAATTGTGACGGAGTCTGATTTAGTGTGGAGATCGATACTGGGTAAGTCTGAGATCTTATAGAACATTTGCTTGCAAGGGCGCTGGTGCTAGACTGCAAAAAAATGATCACTCTGCTTCGCAACGTGCGGAATTCTCGCTTGAGCGCTTTCTCGCGACGCTCTGCCTTGTCTCTCTGTAAGATCCCTCCCAACAGGCCGTCTTGAAGGTGCCATGCACACGATGGCGTGGCCTAGAGATTAAAGACTTTTTTGAGATTACTCGCCGGTTAGGTAGCACCGCAAGGAATCCCCGCGCGTGCCCCCTCCCCTGTCTTTCTCCGTTTTTTCTCCCTCCTGCCGCCCACCATATGACAGGTGAAAAGAGGAGATGGCGCACGGCATTTGGCAAAATTTCCGTGACTGGTTTTGGTGAGCAACTCGATGCGTCTTTAAGTGTAGACTGCTGCACTGTGCCAACTGCAGTTGTCTTCATGCACGAGGTCGTCGTCGCACTCACTCCGTGGGTGGGCCGCGGCGGTGCGTGGACTCGTCGTGAAAATGGGATGTACTTCAAAAGATGGGAAATGCTCACTACGACAGAACAGCGTATTTCAAGATCAATTTTGCATTTTTATGTAATTTGAACGTCGGCGCATTGTACAATCGAAATCCCTGGGATGTGGTAGGTGTGGTTGCGCGTACTTTAACTAAACGTGACGGTGGCTCTGTTTCTGGAGAAAAATTTCCATTTTGACGCAATCGAGGTTGTGTCTGTGTCCAACAAGAATAAAATGACAGTTTTCGGCTAAACTAAGTGGCATAGCCTGCACGGGTAGTAATCCTGTTTCTGTGCATGTTCGAATGCCACGCCTACTCCGTCTCCGGGATAAGGAGTGCAGTCATCGGCAGCTTGATTAGGATGCTCATTAACTTTTGAAATGTGCGATCGCGTCATGGTAAGGCTTCCCTAACGCACTAAATCCGCCATAGCGGATGTAGGATGTTTCCAGTGGTTAAATGAGGTGAAAGCAACGCTAGGGTTGTAAGCGTGCCACCTGCGACACGGGTTAAGCTCCGCAGCATCACACACTCTGCCTTTCCAATGGGAATAGTCGGGGGTGAGGTACTGTGCTTAAAGAGGGCAACGCTCCCCTTCGTTCGACAGCCCTCTCCAGCCCAGCAACCCTTTTTTTCAAAAGACTAGAGAATTGGGCCAGCACAGACTGAATCGGGGGCAGTATGTCGACGGAGGGGGGGGGAGGCATTGTTGTACTAGGTCAATGCTCCTTAGTTTCGCGTTTTAGACTCGCAGCTGTCTTCACTGGCTGGCAAGTGACCTACAAACTCTGATGAAGCGTGGCAACGCGGTATGCCGAGCAAAGAGGATCGTAATTTGTCGGGCCTGCTGGCGTGCGTGGCGACGTTCGGCCTGAAAGGAGCGATGGTTTCAGCGCAGTAAGAATGGCGCCAACCATGGGCAGATTAAGCGACCCCGAGAAAACAGTAATGGAGTGTCTACAATGGCGGGGTCTACATGAAGTCCGGTGCTCCATTCGACAGGTTAAAACAAGTTATGAAAAACGCCGCGCCCATCGCCGCGCGTGGCGGTGCGGCGAATTACGATCCTCTTAAACGTCTCCCAGCTGGAACAAGGTCTTCAAGCCATGTTAAAACGCCTGTCAATCGCGAAGAGGCTTGTCTAGATAGGCGATCGATGGAACAGTAGCAAAAAGAGCAAAATTCCCCCCCTCACTTCCCCCCCCCCCCGGTCAGCATACTGCGCCGACTGAATCGATGTTACATTGGCCAGTAAAGTTACATTGCCTTTTGCAGGTATTAACAAACATATCAACCTGGATCTCATCATGACGTATATGAAGCATATCTATGCGAAAGAAGACGCTGTAAATCTCTTTATAAGAGATTGTGATATTGAAGCTTATGTAGCTCAACTGGAGCTTCCTGTCGATGAACGTGAAGCTCGTTTCGAACCGGCGTACATCATTCGCCCTTCAATAGAGCAGGTGTAATCACCGATTCATCCTTCTTTTTCTTTCTGTCTGCTATAAGTTATCGTTTCAGATCAAGGAGAAAATAATCACGTATTGGAATATACCTGCGCTGGAGTGCACAACACAACTGCCCACTCAGTTAACTGAGAAATGTGAGTTCGAACTGCCCAGCAGTTACTTCGATGAAATACAGGTGAATATCTGTTTCTTCGTATTTTACACATTTGGCGTCCATATCACGGCTCCCTCACAGCAAAGTACGAAGGTACTTTCCGTCTAAGCGCCATGATATGCACTGCTGATGAAAGCAACATCTCATTGAACACCTTTTCAGGACCTCGACAGTTACGATGAGCAACGTGCGGAAACCATGCACTGTCGATATTCGTCAAATCAGCTGGAGAACTTAGATGCTCCGCAAAGACAGAAAAAGCGCTCAACTGCAACCCGACGTGAAAACAAGGAGAGGGCATGCTGTCGTCCTTCAACGAAACACAGGCGTTCAAAGTAAGAGCTTGGAGTACAATCTTCTTTCAGGAAACAGTAATCCGGTACATTTTCAGTAGCCGAAACCGTCAATGTCAACAATCGAAAGAAGATTCGGGAAGTCGTGGTTCGTCGAAAAGCTCTGTCAGAAGTAAGACTAGCGATCTGAAGGTCCTCCCCGGGAAGAAGTCACCTTGCAAAAAGAGTCTCGACAGTTCCGACTCCACTGCAAGTCCTACAAAGACCGTGGCCGATCGCCATCGCCATCAAAGCGGAAGTCATCATTCCTTGAAAAACGCCAGCTCTTGCGATCCGAAAAGTCGCCGCACAGCTTCTGAATCGACTAAGCAGCCTCCAATCAAAAATGATGGCACTCCACGTCGTCCTTCAGTTCGTTCCAGCCGTCCCCCTACAGCTGAAATCAAATCGAAACCCATCACAGAATTCTTTGAAAAAATGAAGAAAAGCGACGTTACGCGCGCTGGTGATGGCGCTGTTCATCAGTCAACGCCGAAGAAACGTGGTGACAACCTTTAGCTTTCTTTTCAGTGGCATTCTCCGCAATGAACTTTTCCATCGCAACAAGGACGCAACCATCGCTCACGAAAAGCTGCCCGCTGCGATCCGAGAATCTGCCAGGAAGGGTCTGGTTTGGCTGCCACAAACGCACGATTCCTTTCCCTTCACCTGGACAGGAAACAAACGGGCGAGATCGTCCAGGATTCTGAAGCTATCAGAAGAAGTCCGTCTTCAAAAAGTCTGCCGAATTTATCAGCTGAAAAACCTCCGAGTGAAAAATTTTTGGATTCTTCACTCAGAGCAGTCTTCTCCTCGAAGCACTCCCCAGTGCTTCACTGTCAGAAAGCTCGCTATAGGCAGGGCTGCAGAGTCTTCGCGGGTAATGGGCTCACGAAGGAACTATAGCGGCTCTCCCCGTTCTTTGCAAGAGAGAACCTCGTCGACGTAATCGTAAAAAGCTAAGCTGAAGCTCTTCGACGGCGGAAATGACTTACCACTTCGAAAGAAGAGAGGCACACAAAGTGGTAAATTCGAGTTCGTGACGAGACAAAGAAGAACTGACGGGCACACGTGGATCTCCTAAACCTTAATTTGCTACATTTTAGCATCCTGCCGCTTTAACGGCTTTAAAGCTGGAACTTTTTTCTTTTCCTATGCATTATTCTGCCTTTTATTATTACTTTCTGGGCTTATTTTTGGACTGTTCAAGTAAATTGTTTGGCAATGAAATTGCTGTGTTCTCGAATGAATATTTTTGCGACTGGTGCGAGTTCCTTCAACGTAATTTGCTAAATTTTGAGTTGGATCTCATAATTTATTACATACAAAACATACAACAATGCAAAGTAAATAACCTAATGAACACTACGTTGTGAGAAATTTGAAACAATAAATACCACTGTGAATAAACACCCGTCATAGTTGCTAGTGCAAAATATTGGTCCTGGTTCTTTAAAGGCAGTTGGCACGATGGTTTTCTACTTAGGCCTAAATGCTAGTAGAGGCGCTGTATAGTGGGGAAATGGCGAAAGAACGGAGTGAAACGGTCAAAATCCGCGAAGAAAAAGCCTCCGTTCTCAGTGACTTGTAAATCGATTTCGGACGAGTTTCCCGTACGCATCTTGCCAATCACCGCTACCGAAGATACGGCTGCATATGTGTAAGCCTATATGTGGCAATGCAGCATCACAAATAGGTCGCTTCTACCAATCCCTTTGCTTCGTAATTTGCTCAGCAAATGAATGAATACGAACGTCAGAAATGGTCGTCCGCTTGTGGGCGGGCGGGCAAGGAAGGCGTTTGGGCCGTAAAGTTGTTGCTCAATAGGGCGTTATAGGGGTACCCTCCTTGGAAAAGGCTTCACGCAGCGCCTTGTCCGAGGTCACGGATATTCTGTAAGCTAGTTGTAAAGCAAATCATACACCTGTATATTGCGATTTATCGTGCAAGATCAACGTAATAACTAGTATTTACTGTTAGTCGACTCTACTGACTCCACGCAGTGAAGCGCTTTGATGTTAAACCAGTTACGTGGTGCGAATGCCGCGCACGTGGCGTAACTCCCAACAATAGTCGCCTCATCGTAAGTCCCCATAATTGATGAGCTCCTTATGATGCGCTACAAACGAGGAGCGCGCCAATGCGGTGTTTCCCCATGGATTAATTTTAACAGCAAGTGGTAATCCTTGAAAAAGCTAAAAGATATCAGGCTGATAGTGAGACGTTGAGAAGAATATGGTGTAGTTTGCTGCGGACGGTTCGGCGTGTCAGGCAGGATGGGCCTATTCGGCGACGGGGGGGGGGGGGATTTCGCCTATGCAATTAACTGCACTAGTTCCGTTTCAGGTTCACACTCTGGTAAAGCCTGTGAACTCTTGTTAAGCTAGAGTAGGCTCGTCGAGCTACCATGATAAAACCTGTCAACCCTTGTGAGCTCATGAAATAGCTCTCTGGTTAGTAGCAAAGTGCAAAATGCCCCCCCCCCCTCCGTCGCCGAACTGCGCCGGCGGGATGAGTTTGGCGCGGTGCCAAACCCGTTCTCCACCAGTTGTAAAGCGAGCAAGTGATATGACTGTATCATATCGTTCGTATTACTCGTTTTCTACCACACTGTTGCAAGCGCGCTTCAGTAGGAGGGCAGGGAACGCTTTGACCTGACACACTCTTACTGCCTGACACGCCCAACCGTCCGCAGCAAACTAGTGTATACCTTCACTAGTCGTTGGGAAAGCATGGAATCGTACTGATCCATTACGTGCTGTGAATAACATGTGCGAAATCCTCCTCATCAGATGGCAGGGAAGAGAATGCAAGCAAGAGCTATCATAAAAGTACTGTGTCGTGGGCAAAAGTCAGGCGCCAAGCGGGGCACGAACTACCCATACAGATGATGCTACTGAAACAGCGGGTACTAGTTTATTTTGAGGGAAAGGTGAAGCGAAAGTGGTTGGCGATGTGTCAATGGAGAAGACTTTCTGAGAGAAATCCATCACATCGCAGCAGAGCCTCTACTTTGAGTATGTGGCAAGATAATCGTATGGCAGCGTTCAGACTGCTGCAGTTGAAAGCATGCGCATCGATCGTGCCGAACGCGCGACCGGGGCGCTGCCGTCTTGAAGTCTGAACACTGTCTAATTCATCGCATGGTGGGCGTCGCATGCGACGTCGCACCGCAAAAGACGATGACTCCAGGTAGTAGATGACGATAGCGACAATTCACAACCGGAAAAGTCATGAATGTCTACGATGACGGGTCTACATGAAGTCCGGTGCTCCAATCGACAGGTTAACACGAGTTAAGAAAACGCCGCGCCCATCGCCGAGCGGCGGAGCGGCAAATTACGATACTCTTGCCCGTCTCTCCTCTACATTGGGCCTTGGGTAGGGTGACCACTTTACTTTTCGCGGCTTTCGGCAGACCTTCCAGTGGGAAAGCTTACTGCACTTTTCACTGACTGCATTCACCCCGCTCCCATTGAGCACAAGCAAACTGCTGCACCTGCTGCCTTCGTCTGTGCCTGCTTTCTCTAGCCACTTGATAAAGAGGGTAAATTTACGCACAACGATTACACAAGAGCCGGTCAGGAGATCCACTTCGGGGCGACACGAAAAAAAGCTAATATCCTCTAATTAGTTAACTTGATACACTGTTGCACACCATAGTTGAATCAACTAGGTTTCTAACAAGGGAATGGTTTGAACTTCCCATGGAACTTTGAATGGAGACCTAGGTACATCGATAGAGCCTCGAATGCTGATTACGAATATGCAGATTAAAAGTGCTACGGGGACCTCCCAGACGAGATCTGGGTGGTC